CCGCTCTCCCAACTTGAAACGCGTCATCTTTACCGCCAGCTGACTATGGTTGTTTTTCTGAACATCCGATCCGCTTTCGACTCCGTCCTTCAGCCAGCTTTATGGAGTTGCCTACAGAGGAATGGAGTACCCGAAAAATATATTGCCATCGTTCGAGCATTATATTACAGTCTCAGGTAAAGAGAGAGCTTATGGTAAGCTCTCTCCACCTTTTTCCGTCAGGGAAAAAGGCTTGCCCCATGTCCTCGTTTCTCTTCATTATTGCGATCGGGGATATCCTTTTAAACGCTCTCGAGGGCTTTCAGGATTCTGGTGTTGAGCTTCGTCCTGGCAACCACGTGACTGATTTAGACTATGCTGATGATATTGCCTTGCTTGGTGATGACGCACAGAGCACACAGGCTGTTCTAAAGCGCTTGGCGATTGAAGCATCAAAATATGGCATGGCCTTTGTCCCTACGAAATGCGGAGTCCTGGTCCTGGATTGGCATTCACCTGCACCAATGCTCACTCTTCAAGGTACACAGCTTGGACAGGTGGACAACTTTGTTTACCTGGGAAGATGTATCTCTGTTGATGGTAGCATTGGAAAAGAGATTTCCTGCCGCATTGCTAAAGCCCGTTCGGTGTTCACCAACTTAATGCATTTGTGGCGACGCCGTGACCTTTCACTGTTGGTAACGTACAGGGTCTACAATGCCTGTGTTCGCGCGGTGCTGCTGTATGGCAGTGAGTCCTAGCCGATTCGTGTGAATGACTTGCGTCGTATTTCGGCCTTTGGCAATAGATATCTGCAGAGAATAGCTCGAATCTGATCGATGAACCACGTGCGCAACGGTGATGTTAGACGTCGCATCTTGGCTGCCACAGGACTTTCACTTGACAGACTGGTACCGCTTCGCCAACTGTGGTGGCTGGGCCACGTTTTACGCATGCCATGCGAACGGCTGCCCCGACGCGCTCTCTTCGCTCCTACAGAACCATCCTGGAAGAAATCGCGCGGTGGCCATCCTATCACGTGGCGATAAACGATTAAAGCGCTGACTTCCAGTTTAGCTGTCGTAAATCCCGTGCGTCTTTCAGGCTGGGGACCAGAGATGAAGAACACTGCTGCCTGGAAACATTTTCGGAGATGGCACAGAACCGGGCGCAACGGAAAATGTGTACAAATATTTGTCTTGCTTTTCATGATTTACATCGCAAACATTAAACGGACAAAAAAGATAAGACGGCGTGTAAAAAGATGAACAAGCTTAAAAAACAAATATTTTTAACCTTCCTTTTTTCTCCTTGTGGTCTCTGTACTTATTGCCTCCATTTCATGGTTTTCGCTAGTTCTAGTCTATCTTATAGACATACCTTATAGGCATACGTACTACATGCCCAAGTCAACAAAACATATTCAGTTATCTATAGTTCTAAGGAACTAGCTTGGGTTTAAGTACCTAGTACTCACCAACGCGCATCATCGTTGCGGACATGCTGGTGCCACACGACACTAGCAATGGTCTGCAGAGAACGATGATCAGAGTTAAAGACGCCTCAGATCATCAGAACGAAAGGGCCAAGTCTCACTCATATAGTGCAGGACGGCCCTCACTGTGAATTTGTAAACAGGGCCTTACAGCCGGAGCGAAACTCCCTTCTGTCGCCAAAGATGCCGCAGGTTCAAGAAGGCAGTTCTAGCTTTTGCGATGCGTAAACTGACATCAGATGCTATGCGCCCATCGTTGCTGATGCAGCTACCAAGGCAAGTGAATCGATCAACTACCTCGATTTCCTCATTAGCAAGGGTCAAGAGGTAATAAAGTGGTCGATGGTCTTGCAGCAACACTTTGCACTTTGAAGATGCGAAGCGAATACCAAATAATGGAAACACATGTACGGCTATTCATTGTTGATTGCGTCGCCGCAACATCACCAAAAAGCAAGACGATATCATCTGCATAATCAAGAGCAACAACTTTCAGCAAGCAGGACCTCAACGACTTAATAGTAAGATTTCGTGAGGGAACACTCCAACATGATGGAGAAAAGGAAGAACTGGAACAAATAGGGAGAAATCGAACAACACTGACGAATGCCAGTTGTTGTCGGAAACCTATCCGACAGGTCACCGTAGACCCTGACGCGGCATGTAGTGTTCGAGTATAGAGCACGTAAGACGTGCACATATTTCGTGCGAACACCTTTTATCGCAAAGAATCCGAACAGAATTCATCGATCGACCGAATCAAACGCACTTTTGAAATCCAGGGGTACAGCTATTGGCGGTGTGCGGTATGCGTGGCCCTGCTCAAGCACCTGCCGCAGAGTGAATATATGTTCTAGACTGCCACATCCTATTCGGAAACCTGCCTGCTCTTCCCTAATCCGTGACTCGCTCTGCAGTGAAGCGACGAACGATAAACGGGGCCAGTATTATATATATATATATATATATATATATATATATATATATAATTTCTCACCTCGTGTACTTATCTAAGATTCGTTTGTAAACAACTTATTTCACATGCTCATTAACTTAAGGTTTATGTCACCGTTTCCTTATGAATCAATCGAGTTATTTTCTTTCTCTCTCTGTCTCAAGTGTTTGGCTGTTGTTTGATATCCCCGGTGTGGCTGCGCTTGATGTGCATTTTGACAAGGTGCCTAACTGTTTATTACCCACTACCTCGTCCATACCATGACCACTTATTTCCGCTTTGATGGACAAGTATACCAACAATTGAGGGGAACTCCCATGGGATCTCCAATCTCGGGACTCATTGCAGAAGCCGTAATGCAGAAATTAGAGCGCATCGCACTGCCATCTATCAGGCCAAAACTCTGGATACGATACGTGGACGACACGTTTGTTATCGTAAAACGGAAGCAAGTACAAGCCACGCACGAGTTGCTCAACAACACATTCGACGATATCAACTTCACGATTGAAGTAGAGAAGAATAACAAGTTGCCATTTTTGGATGTACTGGTCACTAGGAATCCCAACGGAGCTCTGCAAACGTGCGTTTATCGGAAGAAAACGCATACGGACCAGATATTAAACTTTCACAGCAACCACCCGATGAATCACAAGAAGAGCTGTATTCAAACCCTATTCAAAAGAGCGGAAACGCACTGCAGCACAGCCGAGTTGCGGAAACAGGAAGAAAAGCATCTATACCAAGTGTTCAAAAACAACGGTTATCCGAGAAACTTCATCAGAAGAAGCCTAAAGAAAACGAACGTCTCATCATCCACAACAACAGCAGCAGCAGGCACCTGAGCAAGCAAACATACGAATAGTGCTCCCTTACATAAAGAACGTCTCCGAACTAACAGGAAGATTGCTACAGTCATATGGGATCTCTGTGGCTCACAAACCAAGTGCTACCCTAAGGAAATTGATCTCAAGACCCAAAGGAAAAGTCAATCAAGCCGACAAATGCAATGTCATCTATCAGCTAAAATGCAGCGACTGCGATAAAAACTATGTCGGACAAACTGGAAGGAAGCTTTGTACACGAATCACCGAACACAAGGCGGCCGTCAGAAGACATGATCCGCACTCATTGGTTTCTGTGCACGAAGATCAAGAAGGCCACCATTTCGATCTGGAGCATGTTAAGATCTTAGCACATGGAAGTACAAAACATGCCAGGGAGTTTTTGGAAGCCTGGTACTCCACAACGAATTCAATCAATCGACACATCGAACTGGACGCAGTATACGCAACACTACTGGCGAAAGACCGCCAACTCAATCGATTGAATCCGGTGGAACGTGTGGCTAGCCAACCAGGATTGACGGCAGACTCGCCCACAAGCGCAAGCAGACAAAGACCACGAAACACAAGGAGTCAAGGTCAAAGGTCACTTGCCCATCAATCAGGCTGAAGGCGGATCGAAATCCCAACCAATAGAATTGCTCGCCTCCACGGGCAACCACCGCGGTATAAAATACGCACGCACACCACGCTCAGCGCACTCTCACCGAGGCTCCCCTACGCTATTCTACGCTACTGCACGCTACTCAACTACGCACTGATGATGTCACCTCGATTGGTGACGAAACGTTTGCAACCAAATTGCCAAGCTCAGCGAACAGTTCAACTGCCATCTGTATTTAGTTTACTTGGTCTACCATCTCTATCTCTGTCTCAAGTTATCGATTTTGATCATTCAAACAGTCCAGAAGTAAATCCCAGCCCGAATTGACGCTTACCCCACAGTATCCGTGATTTGTAAATGTTTGGATCCGATGCGAGTTTACCGAAAAGAATTCTTCACCCTGAACTGATTTCTGATATTGATTCATATTAAATGTATTTGTATTAGTTTCTTGGAGCATTTGTGAATAGATGCACCACTCAATTACAGAGACAAGAGACCGTTTCAGCATTAGGTTTTCTATCCATACATTCTGTCACATCAGCATTTATTGACACCGGTGTTTTTTGCACATTTCGCATGAGTATAAATAATCACGCATGTTGCGGAAATGATGGTCACATTGTAGAAATATATTCGTGCGATTCAACTACCTTCCACAGTGGCAGTTTGGAAGTCATAAGCGCTGTTTTTCTTTGAAGTACGCTCCAACTTGTCTATGGGGACCAGCCAACACATCCCCAACTTTTTCTCCTATGATTAATGTCCCTATGCACGAACCTGTCCAAGGCGACCACTTTTTGTCTGTCCCTTGTGTGGTCGCTTTAGGCAGGTTTGATTGTAACACCTACTTCAATCGCTACGGAATCTGGATCTGTGTGAACCTAATGACTCGGACACAGACGTTTTTTCAACCACCTGGTATCGTTGACCCATTAAACATTCGCCTCCCTTTACTGAAAATCCTCGAACATTTCCCTCGCCTCCGCTTGTTTCAACTAGCTAAATGCACGAACTATCTTCTAGTTGCACCTATCCCTTTCCAAATAGCTACTATATGCACTTGCTACGAATAAACCTTGTATATTTCGCGACTTTGTACTCTTTTTACTATCTCCCTAGGTATTGGTGGCACGAATACATGATGCCGCTAAACGTCTGCACGTGCCAGTTGTGGATTTGGCTTCTGAGGCGACTCACATTTTACATCCTCCGCCCTCAAACTGGACTGGAGATAGCCATGAGGACTCCAGTACTCAGCGTTTCCGCGTCATATTTCAAGAGGGTCGGGGAGTTCTACTCCATTGGCTTTATTCCCCCGGTTCCCATACCACATGGTACACAGGTATCTGTTTGCGTTTCTGTATCTCTTCGGAGTCATATTTCTGTGTTAGTTTTTGTATGCTACTTCCCAGTTTTTTCCAGCGTTTAATAGTACATTTTGGGTGGATTTTGGCGGCTTTTCCTCACTCAAAAGCACATCGTATCCAGGTTCGGGAGCCATCGTCAGTTATGGTTTTGTTGATCTTATTTATGGTCTTGTCAGAGTTCGTTTAGCAAGTGACTTGTCCTCTCCAAATTGCTCGTACTTGTTAGCCTTTGTTTTCTCTCTTACCGTCCATCGCTAATCTTCTGTGAACTGTAGGTGACAGCGGCTCGTTCTTATACCTATTTGGAGACCATCAGTTTCTTTTTGAATAACATAACCACTACACCCCCTGATTATCTGCTTTGGTTGACCGTATCATTACTCGATCATCCTATATTGCGTGTTGCAGCCGAGATATTCGTATGGCTCCTGATTTATTCTGTTGCTTGATGTCATTCACGTGATTCAACTCCTAACCTCTCCCTTCTGTTTTTCATTCTTCTTTTTGCTTTTCCACTATCCTTAAATGCTGTGATCACGGACGCATCGAAATGTAACATTTGTTCTCAGGCTTTATTCGACGCAGTGTGATGTTGTCACTCAGGATCTCTTCCTTTACTTTTTTCGGCTCCTCTCTCGTTTCTGTACTCGGGGCTCAGCACACATTGCTTGGCTGTTATGACCAGGCGAACCGTTCGTGGTGCAAATCACTCACGCCATAGATATTAGATCTTGTTTGTATTTCTGCCCTATTTTTCTCTCAAGATATGGTCTGTCTGTGCTCTAATTTTCCCCTAGGGTGCTCGGTTATCGTTGGACTATGAAAGCCAAGTTCATTTACCGCGTTTCAAGACAGATGGACTACCCATAGTTAGAGGGTGATGTCATCTGATTACCGTCTTAGTGAATAGTCTTCTCATTGGCTTTCTCGATACCGGACATCCGAGTCCCGCCTTACACTGGTTGGGTTACCACCATGACCACCATTCCCTGTTTTGCAGGTTTACAGATGGAGTGGCCTTGCGAGGTGGAATCAGCCCCTCGCCCCGAAAATGATCGCCCGTGGGATGTGGATGCTCGGTGGCTTCTCTATTCTGACGAGCACACCGAGTGGATGGTGGAAGAGGATTTTCTGCTTCCCACCGGTTCGCTCAGACCAAGGGCTACGTACACACGTAAGTTTTTACATCTAATCCTTCTTTATCGTCGGTTCTCCATGCCCCCACGCCTCCTCAAATTTTCCCTGTCTCCACATGACTCAAGTGTTGTGAAGACGTCACTCCATATAAATATTCCTAGCCTGTGTACTCTGCGCGTCGACTTTAACTTTATTTATCCGTATATACGGAACCGTATCATCTTGATTGGAGATCCTGCCACTGCAGAACTCGGCGATTATATACCAAAAATGGTAAAGTATTTCGCATCTCCCTCGAACTCCATAGAATCCACCGCGAGAAGTGGAACAACACTGGACTTGTATACGGAAAGCGTTGACCATTTCCGGACAGTCATGCTGCGGTCTAACTCGACGCCCTTTGAAGTCTTGGATCTCTGCTCGTTCTCTGGAGCTCTTCGAACGCCGCAAAGATATCTCCGCGGAATCAGATTGCAACGAGCGGCGCCGTTCTACCAACCGGCTGCTTAAGCAAAGCCTCCGCAAGGATCGCGAGACATGGTGGTCTGAGCGTGCTTTAGAGATGGAGACTGCTGCCCTCTCTGGTAACACTCGCAGGCTTTTCCAACTCATTCGGTCCACTGGCCTCAGGAAGCCTGGTGTCAGTGAGGTCATTTGTGAGCTGGATGAGTCTCCGATCACCAACCAACAGAGGCGTATGGACCGCTGGGCGGAGCACTTTCACTCGCAGTTCAACTGGCCTCCACCATCCATCAGTACCTGCAGTACACCTTGCTGTCCACCTTGGCTAGTCCCATTGAATCCACCCAGCGAAGCAGAAGTCTGCCTTGAGATTCGACGCTTGAAGCGCTTCAAGGCTGCCGGCTTAGACGGACTTCCTCCGGAGCTATTCAAGTATGGCGGTGTAGCAGTCATTAACCAGCTAACCGCGCTGTTCGCAAAAATTTGGCATGAAGAGAAAGTGCCTCCCTCTTGGGGCGAATCAGTTATTGTCCCAATTTTCAAGAAAGGCGCTCGCACTTCATGTGCAAATCATCGCGGGATTAGTCTTATTTCGGTTGCCTCTAAGCTGTTGGCATCCATTCTACTTCGTAGACTATCCCCAGTACGTGAATCGTACTACCGTGAAGAACAAGCTGGTTTCCGTCCTGGCCGCGGATGCGTGGATCAAATCTTCACACTCCGCCAACTCCTTGAACATCGCCACATTTATCACAGGCCCACTATCGTTGCATTCCTAGACATACGTGCCGCTTTTGACTCTGTTGATCGACCTGCTTTATGGCGTTGCTTACTAAAGAACGGGGTGCCAGAGAAATATATCGCCATCTTACGAGCACTTTACCTTCACACATCCGGCAGAGTGAGGGTCTACGGCAAGCTTTCCTCGCAATTCGCTGTCAATAGCGGTGTGCGACAGGGCTGCCCTATGTCCCCATTCCTCTTCAACTTCGCAATCGAAGACGTTCTGTCAAATGCCCTAGAAGGTTTCCAACATTTTGGCCTAGAGCTTCTACCGGGTGAGCGCGCGACCGACTTAGATTATGCTGATGATATCGCCTTACTTGGTGACGATCCTCAGGGTATGCAACTCATTCTGGATCGTTTGGCGGTTGAAGCATCTAAGTATGGCATGAGCTTCGCCCCATCGAAGTGTAAAGTACTGCTCAAGGATTGGCTTTCACCTGCACCCGTGCTCACTCTCCAAGGTGCGCAACTTGAACAGGTAGATAGTTTCGTCTACCTTGGGAGCTGTGTTTCCGCTGACGGCACAATCAACAAAGAAGTTTCTCTTCGTATCGCTAAAGCTCGATCAGCATTTGTCAATCTGAGGCACTTGTGGCGTCGTCGCGACGTCTCATTCTCACTAAAGGGCCGAGTTTACAGCGCGTCCGTTCGCTCAGTATTGTTGTACGGGAGCGAGTCCTGGCCGATTCGCGTGGAAGACATGCGTCGTCTTTCTGCCTTCGATAACGGTTGCTTAAGGAGGATCGCTCGTGTTCGGTGGCAACATCGAGTTACCAGTACTGACGTTCGTCGTCGCGTCTTGGGGAATGCAAGTATTTCCTTCAACAAACTGGTTTTGTTGCGCCAGTTAAGATGGCTCGGTCATGTCCTACGCATGGCACCTGAGCGTCTACCGCGTCGCGCTCTATTCGCTCGTCAAGGACCTGGCTGGAAGCGACCGCGTGGTGGTCAGCCTTCCACTTGGCGGCAGCACATGAAATCGCTGACGTCGTGTCTAGCCGCTGTTGGACCCGTACGTCTTCCAGGATGGGGACCCAAAGATGAGGAGTGCCAATGGCTTAGGACACTTGAAGACATGGCCCGCAACCGGAATCAATGGAAGAATTGTGTACAGTGTTGTGTTGATTCACATGTTTAATTTTACAAACATTGAAAATGACAAAAAAGAGAAAAATCGGCGTGTGACAAACAAACTAAAAATGTTTTGTTCTGTATTTTTGTCCAAATATTCCATTTTCTTGCGGCATATTAGCTGAAGTGTGTTGCCCACCTTCAGCTAGCATGCCACGACGATTATGACGTAATGACTGTCTCTTATACACTGATTTCCATGGCTTTCTTGGCTCTATGTCTAGTTACTAGACTGTTGAGATTACATACATACATACATACGAACTCCATAGAAGCCAAACTCGCGTACTTCCATTCCTGAGCAGTATAGTTCGCCACCATTGTTGACAGCCCGTTTCTCAACCTCCCCTTACCTGTCTCTTTGTAAGACTACATGTTGTTTATCGCCTTAGTGAAGGATGTGCATCTCCTGAGGCCAACCATCACTACTACACGACTGGTCAATCTACCACTCTCTTTAGAAAGAGGAGACTCCCGGGTTTGAACTCCTTATAGTCTAGGAGCAACGCACGTTGCTACCAACCACTGTATCAATGAAACCGTTCAGTCAAACAGCTATGATCCTAGCACCGAGGTGCAGTAGATCTATTTGTCACGACTCCAGGTTGCGGGTTAGACTGAGGGTGGCTCCTCACTCCATAAAACGGACTGTCTGTAGCCCAATGCCAAAACCCCGCCATCCAGCGGTTAGGTTTTTGAACTAAAGGCTTTAGTTAAAAACCATAATCGTTCTCCTGTCTAGGCCTGAGCAACCTAACCGTATCTATAGCACTCAATACACTAGGATTTGTTCTTGATACTTCGGCCGTCGCATAGGATACTCAACAGCGCCCTATCTGCTGCATCGAACAGATTGGATAGGGGTTTGAAGGCTACCGCTCAGGTCTTTCAGTCTTCTTATTCCCCTCTTGTAATTTTTCACATTTATTGTCCCTTTCCAACTTCACTTCCTCTCATTCATTTTCAACCTGCGATTCTTGGCTCTCCTCCATCTCGCTTCAACAGTCGCTTGTCTTCTAGCTTCAACTCCAGTGTAGCCAATAAGCCCATGTTTAACCAAGCGGACAGCATCAGTTTATCCATTTCCCTTTAGAGTCGTTTGCCCTCGTTAAGACTGGCATGCCTCATCGTGCGCACTTTGTTACCGTTTGCTCAACAGCAGAGATCCTATCGATCGGAATTTGCTGCTTCTCGGATTCGCGCTTGCAAGATTCCATCTCCATGCCTACCCTGCGATTCCAGATATGTGCCATTGGCGGCACTTTCTCTTTGCGCCTATTTGGAGATGACGCAGCTTCAAATATCGGTCAAGCCGGTGTGGGCATTGTTTTGAGTCCCCGAGCTGAAGTTGCCCTGCTTGATTGGATCCCAGTCTACAGTCAGATGTGCGCCGTTAGTTTAACTAGTTCGTTCCACACTTAGAACCCACGCGAAGACAAACGATAACTATTTGTCATTGTGACCTACGCCCCACCCCCCTACAAACTGTAGCAGTGATTCGGTAAAAGATGATCTTAATCACCAACTTAACGAACTCCTTCGTTACAAAAGCAGTATGGGTACTGTGATGTTGGCTGGTGATCTAGACGCCAACGTCGGAAAGTTGTCCTCAGATGACCTTCGTTTGGGTGCTCAATTTGGTGTAGGCTCCCGTAACGATAACTGTGAGCAGTTGCTACACCTGTGTGAAGATGCTCGTCTCTTTCTCGCGTGCGCTAACTTCCACACAGCACCTGCAAAAATGGCTTGGCGGCCACCAGCCTCGGATTAGCCATTGACGCAAACCGACCACATCGCATTTCGTTACCGCTGGAGAGGCTGTGTCAAAAACTGTCACTCGATTTGGAGCACAAGCGTAGATTCCGATCATGCCGTTGTGTGTGATCACTTTTGGGTGCGTTTCGGTAGGCGTTTGCAAAACCGCTGTTGGCACATGGACAGTCAGCCAACTGACGAAGCCAGGTGTAGAAGATTCCCAAATGTCCTATCCTCTGCTGCCTTCCTACTGCTCCCTGCCTCATGCTTGTGGTTCCCTTGACCGTTTTCCCAACTCCTTTCCCTGTCTCAACCGATCTTTATTGTCTGACTCTCAATGGAGATTGTGTTCCGTGCCAAGTTAATTAAGTTTATTTGCACTTTAAGCATATAGATGCCCTACATTCAACCGTACATGCATTGACCTATATTTATTTCCAAGCTCTGAACAGACTTAATTGTCGCTTCATGTAGCTTCGCCTCATGTTATCAGTTCGTGATCTTCCGTTTTAACTCCCTCGCCGTCGCAATCGGAACTGGCGAGCAAGACATTCGTCACATCGCATGTGACCTCACGATGTTACGAGATCATGTCAGTAGAGTTCACACCACCTCGTCTGTGCGGACAATTGTGAATGTTACTCCGTGTGCAGTTTAAACACTTGCAACACTATCACGGTGTGTCTGTGTAAGGCACTGACCGAACGCCCACGTTTCATGACAACCTCCCTTTACGATTGGTCATGTATAAGCCTGTATAAGCCACAGTACATTGAGACGAGGTTAATCTACGTGAATGTGATGCTCAGCTTGCTGGCTACCTTGGATTTTTATCATCGATGGATATACCTGTCTCAGAAGCACAGATTGTTGTGGTATTGTACATTGTTGTTTTTAATTATT